AATGCATAAAAACAGTGTAGTTTACACATAAAAAATCAGTCATAGGAACATATCACAGGACTATTCAGCTATGTATCGCTGGACTGATCTTGTTTCAAAGACTGAGTAGTGCCAGTCGCTACATATTTGCTTTTAAGTGGTTTAAAATTGACTGTGATAGCCTCACACACTCTTAAAACTCATTATTCATAATCTTCCCATAATTTTTCAGCGACTAAATAACCATTGCAGTTGATGCAGGGTTAAGCTTAATTATACCTGTTCTTACACTCTCCAGGTATAGTTTACTTCTCCAGGATCTCTTTGCCTCAGTGGCAATATCCGCTTTAATATTTAATTTTACTTATTTATTCATTTATTCTAGATGTCTGTACTTCATTGGTGATCTAGTCTTGCAATTCCCGTTAAAGGCTAATTTGTGCTGCTTCCAAACAATAGCACAATTACGACATTAAGACCTGGATGTAAACTCATCAAATCAATTGTTTTGCCCATGAGGTAAGTGTTTTCAACCATATTCTTGACAACACCTTGCTGCCATGTAGAAACCAATATTTCAGAGAAACACAATGTGTCCATCTTCAGGACTGAAATGGTTATACTGGGAAGTGGGGGTATTTATATATGATTGGCTGAGAGAGTGGGCCATTTGGAGGGAGAGAAGGTTCCAGGCCAGATTTAGGTTTAAACATAACTCATAACCCACATAAGGGTAGTTTATAATGGGTGAAACAATGTTTCCTAGGAGGTATATCCCAATGAAAGAAGTACCTGTCCCAGTTAACAGGATGTGTATTTGAGTCTTCCTATGAAAACAATTTTGTCAGCACATTAAGCTCAACATGCTCGGCACACAGCAGTATTACGCACCTGTATACTTGGCATCTTTGTACACATGATGTTTCGTGAATATGTACTTTGCAGTCCTCACTGTTGGTGGTACATGAGAATGATGTTTCTCTAGACATCGCTTGATTGCACAATGTAGGCTTTGCAACCACTCACTTTTATCACATGGAGTTGCAGTATATACCGTCAGTGTTTCCTCTGGCATTGTTAATTGTATAGCATTCTGTAAAACCGAATACAGAACATTTTCAAATACATCACTCTAAATCATTTCAATTGACAAGTATGCACTATTCTATAAAGCTTTTCAGTCAACAGGAATGAGTGGATGGATGAATTAATTTAGATACAGGAAGTAAAGCCATGAACCAGACATGTCACACTGTGGGAAGTTATTACATTTGGTTTTGTTTATTATGCATTCTTTGTACAAAGTGCATAGCAAGAACACGTTATGGTCTAGTCCATTCAACTCAAGAACTACTGGATGGATTTGGATGAAATCTGATGTGGAGGTTGTGCTTTTCTGTGCAACATCAAAAACATTTTGGTGGTGATAAAATGACAAATAAGGAAAGTCATACGGTAGGCACTGTGGTGCTGTGATATGGTGGCCAAAATGGGAAAAGCTGAACAAGGCAGCTTTAATACCTCTAAATGCACTTTGAAAAGAACGCATGAGGATATTAGTATTATAGTACAAAATACACTTTCTAAATTTGTTTTCATGTCTCCTTTGCATGATGGCATGTGTGTCTGTCTGGCTACTTGTTTCTTCAAAACTACTAAACAAAGCAGTTGTCAGAGAAATTTGATTTTGTTTCTATCAATCCAATATAATCTGTTTTACATCAAGATCAAATGTAACTCTATTAAAATATAAGAACAGATATTATTTAATTACACTAATACAACAATAGATTAGGTAAAAAATGGTGCAACTATATCAGGCTGTGTGAGTATTAGATACCTAAATAGATAGTCAACATATTGTAAACATATACCAAGAATATATTAATTGTTTTAAGATGTGAACCACATACCTGTATGGTATCTGTATCCTGGATGACATCCACCCAGACTGTGGTCAGTGGATGTACGTTCTGGCTCCCTCCACTAATGTGTACAAAAACGTCTGTGAAAAGGACAAACCAATGTGAAGAAAAGCGACCTGAGTTGAGAACAAAAAGGGAATGCGATCGTGACTCTCTGATCAGACGCCTTTCTGGAGATCGTAGTAACTCCACTATGCGACCAGAACTTTCCCAGAAAAGTCTTGTGGTATCAGCTTCATTTCTCTTTTGCTCCTGTTCATCCCACATCTGATCCCACTTGACAAGAGCATCCTGGAGCTTTCTCTCAACAGTCTGTTTATCCTCCAAGATTTGGTGCCTCTTGTCATTACATTGAATCAATAACTGAATTGTACTCTTGTAGGACTTGAGCCTCTTCAAGGGATGGAGTAGAGCACAGGAAACTACTGCTTCCTGGGACTTCTTGTTTGTCTTTGAGTGCTCATGAAACATTGTAAACATCTTCTGTGGGATATCAACTAAGTGAGCTATATGCATAAATCCACTCAGTGCTATAACATTACACACAGCACTCAGATAGTTCCTGTATATGCGAATGTACTCATCTACATGCTGAATTATTATTACACTGCTCTCATTGCCTCTGTGATCTGTGTACTCCCGGAGAGACTGAACATTCAGGCAAGTAAAACTGAGTATTTCACTATGACATTCACAGAGCACATCATATACATTTGTTTCCTGCACAGATGTCCCTTTTTTCTGCAGTGGTTTGATGAGTGAACTATGCACAAGGAGCATTTCTTCCAAGAAAGTCTGTTCAATTGCAAGGTCTTTCATAGCAACTGATGTAGCATAACTTGTGTTAAGGCAACCACTGATATGTCTTGATGAGAAGATCCATTTCTGTGTAGACTCATTCACCAAAAGTAAAGGAATATCCAGCTTTAATAAGCTTTTACTGCTGAAAGTTAAAATTACAATATTACACTCATGGTGATTTGATTTGCACTGTTTGTTTTTTGTCAGCATTTGTAGGTTATAAATTCTTAATTTATTGGAACATAGAACAAAACATTTGCTACTTATTCTAATGTCTGGATCTGAATTATTTAGAATAACCTCGGTAATCCTAATTTGACAGAAATTGATCTATGGTAAGATCACAACTATTTACCTGCCCTTGCCAATATAGTATATATTGTTGTCATTTGTAATCACCAGGCTGTAATTATCTCCTGCTGCAATGCTTCTCACTCGTTCTGAAAAGCTGATTTGTTGGGGAGTGCTTTGGTCTGTCTCAGTCTCAAGTGAAACTTGATTGTGCTGGTTTCTGCCCCAAGCAAATACACGGCCATCCAATGAAACAGCCAGGGCATGATCATGTCCACAATCAATCCTGCACACACCTATTCCAGTCAGACGAGAGATGATAGTAGGTTGGCTTCTCTTGACTGTGTCACCTGTCCCAAGTTGTCCATGCGTTATATCACCCCAGGACCAGAGCTCTGTTGAAAGCAGTCTAGTGCCTGCATGAACCATTGCAGCAACTCGCTCTGATATACCAATCTCAGATTCTTCACCTTGCTCACTGGTGCCACAACTGGAAGACCAAAAAGACTCCTCACACCTAAAGTGAAGGCAGTATGCATCAAACTCACATGTTCACATTATTAAGATTATACCTGTAGTCAGAATATATACAGACATCATTAAAATCTGAATGTATGATTCAATAAGCTACGCTAAGTGCCATAAACTGTTCTGAAATACTTTAACAGTACTTAGTGAAAATATATCAGAAGTCTGTACACATAAGGAAATAGTAAATATGCATTCTGTTATTTTATCTGATACCAAAAACATATGTACTAAAAAACAGAATAACAAAGAAACTCAAGTAGGAATCTAGTACATGGTTCATTTCCTATCCCACTTGACCTACAAGCAGTAAGTTTATTGTGTGAGGTCATATTTACAGTAAATTAAAAGTTAAATGACCTGTGGGTTCCCATATCTGAGTCATGTTTGTAGTATAAATGTTTAGAGAAAACTGACACATTGGAGCATTGGTTAGTTACCCTACAGACATAATACCTGAGACTTGACGTGATGCTAGGTGCAGCTATAATGAAATCCTCAGCATTCAATTCCTCAAATGATTCACCGTCAACAGTCCCTCCAGGTATACTCTCATTTGTCTCTGATCCTCCACTCATGTGTCGGAACAGTATGGCTCCCCTGTCACCAACAATCTTAACACCTTCATACACAAGACTCGCTACATTCGACATATTCTGCTTGATAATATGAGATGGGCGAGCAAGAGAAGCCTCTGCACATTCCACAAGATCTTCCCCAGCACCACCATAGTTCGACACCCAGGAAAGCTGCCGTGTAAGAAATTGGCGAGCAGCCTCTGTGTTGATAAAAAACTCATTCTTCTTTTCCTCCCTCATAAATTCACTCCTTGTCTCTTTCTCATCACAGTGAACTGATTTTCGAGTCCTTATTATGTTTTCACTACCTTCTATAATGTTGTGTGAACTCTTCTCAGTAGGAACTTCCATGTATGATTGTACATGCAATTTCTTTGTGACATCAGAACTTACATCTTTCTTATCAGCCTTTCCATTTGTTGATGTTGATGTAGAGTCATCTGTGCTTTTCTTGTCATCTGCTGTATTCTCCTTGCTGGTACTTGATGTGGAGAAATGCTCATCACTTGTCTGCTGTACAAGAAGGCCAAGAGGACATGTTTCTGAAGTAGACTGTTGAGATATTGGTGGTGATACACATACAGGACAATTTGACACAAACACATCTTCACTGTCATCATCAATGTCACTGTTATCTCTGTCAGGAACATAGTGTCCTGGTTTGTAGACCAAAGCAATGCTAAAATTTGCTCCACACGCAACTGATATCACATAGCGTTTCTTAAAAAAATTAACTTTCTGGGGTGATTCATTTTGCAGACCCAACTTTGGTTGATCACCAGATACCCAAAGTTGGCCATTTTCAGTAACATATAAGCAACTACATTCCTCAGCAGCAATAGTCTTTACTTTGACTTTCTGCCCTGATGTTTTGTAACCATGACTACAACATTTTACATCTTCTTTCAGAATGATCTCTTCTTTTATATCTAAATCCTCTGGGTCAGTTTTAAAGACATGTCCATTACTGCTGACAAAATACAGTACTTTATTATTGCAGGCTATATCTATAGCTGTTATGTCTGTATTAGAGAAAAATAATTTATCATCACAGTTTAGGTCCACTTCACTATGATATACCCTATTGCTAGTTGTCAGTGCAAACACATGATGATTTATTTTGCACATTTTAATTATGTCTTTTGGTAGATCTGATGATTCAAAGGATACTGAAAGTTTGTTAAGACCAAACCACAGATGTATCTCATTCATTTCTGATCTCATAATCATATGGCTGAAATGCACTTATAATAACAGTCAGATTTAGTGACACCTTTTAAGAACACAAGTTTAATGCTAATGAACATCTGTCTACGTTCTAGTCTTGTCATATCAGTTCAATATAATTTCATTACTTTTCCTCTAATGATCAAATCTTCACGACCCTTCTCGACCTTGCTCCTCACATTAACTGTATGGTACTACTAAACAGTAGTCATTTACCTAGGCCAATTTTAAAAAAATTCCAAAGATGGTTATGTTTTATGCCATGCAGCCAGTCCGTACATCGTCTGCCTTTCCAACACTCAAGAGATATTAAGTTAGAAGACGGGAAATTTCCATGTGTAATACCTCACAGCAGGCATGACCAACATTATCCCACAGTCCCGAAAGTTGAGACGCAATGGAAAACTAACCTCGTTTTGTGAATAATCTGTACGAAATCGATCAGCGATTGTTTCTTATGTGATTTGTGGTGACATGTGTTAGTCAGTACGTGAGGAATTGTGGTAGCTGTGATTGTGGTGTTCATAATGTTCGTATCCGACCCAAATAATGTGAAGATTTACAACTTAAGTGCTGGAAAATCACTACCAGAGGTACGTTTCGTCAGGGAATGCAACACTTCAGAAGTACATTAACCTAGGACAGGCTTACATGCTAGTCATATAATTTTGAAGTGCCTGCGTTTCTACTGCATATAAATTCTGTAAAAAAATTTGTATGTTTCAGAGCTTTTACACAGTTCTACCAATGATAGGTCTGCTTTTAATGACAATTATTTATTACTTGCTATATGTGTTTATAAAGCAATAACGAACTACGTCTAGATCCAGATTATTGGCAGAGTTATTTGTCTGAAGATTCAGAAATATATCATTCCTGATTGCCAGTAGTATCTCAAGAAAGAGGGTTCTTGCACGTGAAAATCAATAACACACTATGAAAGAATCTTATCCACATTAAGATATTTGGCAATAGGGCAAAGTCAGAAAGAAGTGTGAAGCATATTCTACATTATTATGGTTATGTAATGCAAATAAATAATGGCATGTTGTGAAGCTCTGAATAATCTAGTCCATTTATCTCCCATGTCAACCACAGAATGTTCCTAATTCTCTGGATGGAATACATACTACTAGAACAGACCACTATCATATAGGTGAAGGTTAGACAGTGTTTTTTTTAAAATTACCAGGATGTTGGATGACAGATGCATTGGAATGAGTATGTAGTCCATTTCCAGTACTGGATGCATTCAGTTTATGTTGAAAAATTAGAATAATTTTTTTTCTTTCAATTGTAGTGGTTATCAGATCGCAAAAGACGAGCGCTGCAGAAGAAAAATGTTGGTAAGAATTTCATCTTTTTATTTAGTATCATGATGATGATATAATTCTGTAAATTATTTATGGTAAACTTGTTGACATAAGGTCTGATTCACACCAAATATTGCAAGGTCTCTTTTAAAATTACATATGATGTGTTCTCTATTTTAAGTGTCATATTTTCTCTCACTTTTGGATATTCCCAAATTGTAACATTTCAGAGGTATTCTTAGATCATTGCTGTACTGATGTCCAGTGTCACTGTTGAGCAAATGTGCTCCAACATTATCCTTAGATTATTGTTGCACTAATATGACCCAAGGTGATTGGTACACATGCTCCAACATTTGCCTTGATTCCCAATGTGTTCAGTTATTGTTGCACTAATGTGATCTATGCCATTGCATCACAACAGTGTGTTTCAAAAATGGCCTTGTTTCCCATTGCTGAGCAAGTATAATCTTGGTCGTAAGGGTTACCTCCCTACTAAGAAAAACACAATAAACAGACATATTTTCCCAGTAATTTATTCTCAAATATCCTCAGTGTATGAAGATTATGGTTTCTGGATTGTGACACTATTTAGTCTTTGAGATGGAATGTTAGCAACAACCTGCAAGACTACATGCCGTGACAACCCAGAGGGTCACGATCCACATCTTCACTACCATGTAAACCTCCAGTCTTGTACCTTCAGTCTGTGTTCTTCTTTTAAGATGAAAGACAAAGTACCACATCCAAATGAAAGAGGTAAAATCTTACTTTTATATATTTTGTTATTGGATATGCTTTGTTATTTACACTAAATTTCTACAGATATTCGAAGAAGAATTGAGCTTATCCAGGACTTTGAAATGCCTGGTATAAGTACAACAGTGAAGGTTTCAGCAGATGGAAACTTTATTCTGGCAACTGGAATCTACAAACCCAGAATGCGATGTTATGATGTCAATAACTTGTCCATGAAGTTTGAAAGGTGTTTTGATTCTGAAATTGTCACATTTGAGATACTGTCAGAAGATTACAGTAAGGTTAGTGTAATATTTATTTCATATTGGCAGTTTGAGGTAGATGGTAGATGCTTGATTGTGGTTAGCTGTATTGAATGATTTCAGACATTGGGGCCCAGTATACAGTACCATAAATTTTTTATTGCCTCAGTAAATAACTTTCTTTTGGTAAAGTGACACTTATAGGACAGGATCAAGGTGAAAGCCATCTGTTTCAAACATTTGAGTACAATTATGTGGTATGCTGTGCTGTACATGTGTGATATTTTTCATTAGGTTTCTTTGTTTTAGATCTACCCACAAGTGGGTATTGAGATCACTGAAATCTGGGGAGTGGAAAGGCATACATTGAAACTCATTTTTGGCTATTATTTTGAAAAAGAAGCATTTGCGACCACATGTTCATAGGAACATTTTTTTCTAATATTTTATCCACAAACACGCACACAAAGTTTGTAAACATACTTTTGACTCACCCTGTATAGTGCATAATGAAGAAGCCTGAAGATTATTTCAGCAGTGACATTTGTAGCTCATAAAACTGTATATTTAACCTTGTGACCAAAGTATAGGTTAAAATACAACAAGTTGTTAATGTATGATCTGAAGTTTTCATGGCAGCTAACTAACCGACTAACTAGCCGGCTTACCGAACCCGAAGGTTCATCACCGAATTAACCAAAACCCTCCACCGTACCATGTCCTGGGCCAACAAAATCCAGTCACCTTCAACTCCTATCTCCAATAGATCCCGCCTGACATTATTCTCCCATCTATGTCTATGTCTCCCCAGCGGTCTCTTCCCCTCAGGCTTCCCAAGCAATACCTGGTGCACACCTCTTGTCCCATCCATGCGCACTACAGCTAACATTAATAAAATCTTCTTGGGTGATTAGCCATGCCAGTTGGTCAGTACATTGTTGTTCATATAACAGTTATTTTCATTAAAGGCATGTTATATAATATAATTGTTTCCTTAGTCCTCCAGGGTCTTTTTGTAATATTGCAAATATGCTTTTGTGTAAATTTTGAACGTGATCCTTTACCATTTGTCGGTGATTTTTTGTGATATCTCTTGTAGGTGGTCTTCCTGCGCTCTGATCGCTATGTAGAATTCCACGCAGCACAAGGGCGGTACTATCGATTGCGGATACCAAGATTTGGGCGTGATCTGAAGTATCATCCTGGGACTTGTGACCTCTACGTGGTGGGAGCTGGGTAAAGTACCATGGAATTTTACATCTTCACATTCTGAAGAAAGTCACTATTCATGTTTTAATAGGTCACATTAAAGGAGAGGTTCTAAGATGTAAGAGATTATACTTCATCAGAACAAATGAATACATCTACATGTTAGGTAGTGTCTTATATATATCAGGTTGAAAGCACTGGCTGTCCTGATTAAGGACTCCTTCTAAGCAAATACCAGTATTAGTACTGTGCATTGAAATAAGTTCCTGCACAGGTTTTCTCTTCGCCATCATAATCTCCCTCCACTCTCATGGCATTGAGCAGTTCTTTCAATATCATAGAATTATTTGCAAGTGAACAATAGAACAATTAAAAATAAGAGCCATTTGATGTATTAATAACAGTGATATATATTTATTTTGGTAGCCCAGAAGTATATAGACTAAACTTGGAGCAAGGTCAGTTTCTCAACTCATTGGTGACTGATGCTTCAGAGGTGAACCGGTGTGCTATAAACCCAGTGCATCAGTTGCTTGTTTGTGGAACACAGGAAGGCAAAGTAGAGGCTTGGGATTCTCGCACCAGAGGCAGAGTTGGCACCCTGGATTGTGCACTCAGCATCACAGACTCACAGTGAGTATGCTGGTAGACAGTGCACACTTCCTTGGATTATTCATAACTCAAAGATAATACTCTCCATAGAACATAGTCCTTGACAAGGTGATTGTCACTCAGCTGGTCAACAAATTTCCTGTCTCTTTTGGAACCTGAAGATTTGTTACCTTCTTCAGAACAGTCCACCGCTGGACTGTATCCTAAGTCAGAAATTATGCAGCAGAAGAGGTAATGGTATTCTCCTATCTCTTTTCTTTCACTTTTAGGAGTGTAACCTCTGTGCTCATCTCTGATTTTTTTGTGTGTCTGAGATTGAAAATGTATGTAGCTCTACATTTTGTGTTTTTGTTTTGTGTTTGTGATTTTCAGTGTAAACAGCTATTATTTCCTTAAAAAGTATTAACAGATTAATCTTTCTATATGTGGCATATTTTGTTTCCTCTATGTCACGGACCAAATTCTTGAACATTACGTAGAAGAGCTTTAGCTTCAGAGGGTTAATGAAAGTTATGTACTTCAGTTCAAACATGGAGTTGATCATGCCATTTTCCATCATTTTTAGGAACACTTTTTTTTTCTGTTGTGTAAAAAAGTAAAGTTTGTCCCACTATACGCCATGTAGGCGTTTGGGGTGAGAGGAGGTATAGCTCCTCCCTTCCTTGACCTCGGCACTAGATAGGGGTGAGTGGTCAGCATCACGCCCCGGCTGGCTTTACCCCCGGGAAAGAACCCCGGTACCCATTGTAGAAGAGGCTGGGTGGGCCCCAGAGCCGGTCTGGACACAGAGGCTAGAGGAAAAATCCTCTGCCCCCGTCGGGGATCGAACCCCGGCCGTCCAGCCCGTAGCTAGTCACTATACTGACTGAGCTATCCTCACAAAGAACATTTCTTATAATTATAGCCCCTTACCAGACATTTTGTTCCGCTTACTGATGGTTTTCAGGCTAGATGGTTTCCCATCAGTGACTGCACTCCAGTTCCAAGGGAGTCTGACGCTCGGTGTTGGTACTGCAACTGGACAAGTGCTGTTATATGATATAAGGTCTAGTAGGCCTTTCCAAGTTAAGGACCATATGTATGGACTGCCCATACATGATTTGGACTTCAGCGAGGCTCAAGATTTGGTTCTGTCTATGGACAGTTCTGTCATTAAGATATGGGAGAAACAGACAGTATGCATATTTGTGGTATTCTTTTAATACACATTTCTTTCTGAAATTTTAAGTTTTAATACTTATGATTACACAATTTGTTATTCATGAGCTGGAATAATTAACTTAGTAAAATGACTGGGTATGGGATGGAGGATGGAGTTTGTTTCCTGGCAGGGCTTGGGATTTTACTTTTTGCTACTAACTGCAAACTAGCCTTGGGTTTAACAAGCATTTTATCCAGCAGTTACTGGAACTGTTTCCCTTGTGGGTAAGGCATCTGGAGCATGAAAATAATCGCTCACTCCTGTCTCCTTTTAAAGTCCAGAATATATGGAGTTCTACTGCCAGGGCTCTTTTTGTTGCCTTGTTGTGGTGCTTGGGCATAGAAATGACTTTAATTTTACCAGTGTTTGTTAGTCTAATAAGAACAACAGTTATTGAACAACGAAATATGTACGGAAATGTTCCATTTCCATGATGAATTTCAGCATTGTTGAACTAATATATTTTATATAAAATAAGGACATGAGGTAGCATGATGGTGAATATAGTATAGAATATATTGGTCTTGTAATGCAGGGAAAGCTGTTCACCTCAATTGAAGCTGCAGCAGATTTCAATGGTCTGTGTCTTGTCCCCAACACTGGCATGATTTTTGCTGCAAATGAAGACACAAAGATTCAGACATACTATATTCCTGTAAGTATATTTATATATTTGAATTTCATTTATTCTATGTATTTACATGTCCGAACTATCGGTGTATAGCGTGTGTGAGAAGTAATGTGCAGAATTGAATTTTACCATTTAGCATCCTGCTACTGATTTGGTATATCTCTGTATGGAAGTCAGCTGCACTTGCCATAGTTTTATTTAGTCTTCTCTGATAGTTGTGTTAAATTGTTGTAAATTAATTTGCTTTGATGATAGACTCTTGTTTCTGTGTTGAAAGTTTGTAGGAATTGTATAGAAGTTTCATATTTACAGAAAATAAAAGGTATTATTTTACATTCTCAGTTGGCAGCAGCGTGATGTTGCATTTAAAATTCTACACAATTCCTAATTGTAAATAAATTAATTCTGTTCTGTAAACGGGTGCAGAGTCTGGGTCCAGCCCCCCGATGGTGCAGCTTTCTGGACAGTCTAACCGAAGAACTGGAGGAAAAGCATGTTGACACTGTATATGACGACTACAAGTTTGTGACCAGGAAAGAACTGCAAGATTTAGGATTGGATCATCTGATGGGTAGGACTTCTTCTCTGACTTAAATACCTGTTAGTGTATGTTAGTATAGTATCGTACATATGAAATGATAAACCACCTGTGTTTCAGGAACAAACCTCCTGAGAGCCTATATGCATGGATTCTTTGTGGATATAAGACTGTACAGGAAGGCAAAGTCTGTAGCAGAACCATTTGCATTTGATGAATACAAAAGGAAGAAGATCAGGGAAAAGATTGAAGGAGACAGAGAAAATCGTGTGAAACTGCAGGTGAGGGAGCATGGAAGAGGAGGTGCATTGGAAAAGGATTCTGTAGAAGAAGCTATGATTTTATGTTTTATACAATCTTCGATGAATTAGTTATTATATAAATTATCACACTAAAAATTACATGTGTAATTGCTTAAATGAAACTATCTTCAGAGTTATACTGCCTCTTTTTTTGTAGACTCTGCCAAAAGTCAATAAGGACTTGGCTTTGAAGCTGATAGATGAAGAGCTAAAGGAGAAGAGAAAGAAGAATAAAAGTGGTACTGACTTGCTGAAGGATGGTCGCTTTAAAGCTTTGTTTGAGAACCCAGACTTCGAAGTGGACAAGAATGCTGAAGAGTACAGGTAGATCCATCAGCTTGTAGTTTGTAATGTTTAATAGGAAATTGTTTACTATCAGGTTTATGCTTTTGGTGTTGATATATATTTGATGGAATCGTTAATACTATGAAAAAGCCATACCATTGTGAATAATTTTAACTATTAATAAATTATATTTTATATCTTCCAGACTGTTGAACCCTGTAGTATCTCGACTTGACAGGAGTCGTAAGAAAGAGTTGAAGAAGCAACTTGTACACCAGCAATTCGAGGAAGTGGAGGTATATAAATGTTACTTGGTTTGTTTTTTCAGAAGTGAGTGGTGGTTTCCGTTCTGAATGTGTGCATTCATTTATTCATTTGCTCTATAACAGTGCATCCTAATTTTTATCACAGTACTTTTTTGATGACAGAAGTCACTTAACTCACTCAATTCCTAGTTCAGTGCAAGTTAGCAGTTAATCCCTTGTTGGAAAAATAGAGTATAATCATGATACAATGAATATGGCTTATAAAAAGAATGTATTTGTACCAAGAAGAACTACCATCAATTTACTTAGTTATGTGAAAAATTCTGCATAAAAGAGAACTTTCTTCAGATACGTTTATCATAACAAGTAACTTCTATCTAGCAGAAATTTTTTGTGTACCTTCTGCATTGCCTGTTCTTTTCAATTTTGCAACTAAGGTGTATGAAGGCTCATGGCAGTTGGTTAACCCTGAAGCTAGAGGACCTCCTCCTTTTCTCTCCCCCCCCCCCTCCTGCAGTCACCATATTTGCATCTACCCTCACTATCTGAAAAAAACATTCACAGCATATGCTCCATGAGGACATGCATGCCATGATGGTAGTGAGCAGAAAGAAAGAAGAAATGTAATTTAATTTCCTTGTAATGTTAGATTTGAAGCAAATATCAACTTCTTCCAGGGTGGATCTGAAAACAAGGAAAGCTCTGAATCAGAGTCTAGTTCAGATGATGACCAGCAATGGACTAAGGAAGTGAAGCATCAGCATTATCTGCTGCGTCAGGAAGAGAGGGAACGAATGAAAGAAGAAGAGGAAAAGGAAGTTGGCTTACCCAGGTTCTTTGAATTGAAGGAAGGGGAAGAATTCAAAGGATTGCAAGGAAACGTAAAGAAGAGACGAAACAAGTAAGGATTTATTTTCAGTGTACAGTAAATTCACCATGTGACTATTAAGTGGGGTTTTCTTAAATAACTATATTGTTTCCAAAATACAGCAAGTCCTTTAATATGAAAGTCTTTGTTGCAGTTCTGGAGGATTCTCTGTGTACAGTAAAGGTTTTATAGGAAAGTAGGCATCATAAGTCATATTCAGGACGTCTTGTTTATCTACTGCATGTTTTAAGACAGTAATTACTTTCTCTTTCAGTTCCTCCCTTGGCGAACGCGCACAACAGGAAGGAAGGGACACTGTGCGATTGCTGGGCTCGATAGGAAATCGGGAGATGACCTTTTCTCTGGGCAAGGTATGTTGTGGCTGTATCAGGGATGGGCACTGCTGAAATAGAGCACCTGTAACTTTTGAACCAAACAAATGGTCTGTTCCCTTGAGGTTTATGTACCATTATTTCCTATGTATTTTTCATTTACCCTTTGCACTGTCAAGTTTATTATTCAGTATTTAATGAACTTACTTACATAGCTATACAACACACACTGTGGAACTTTTTCTGTGTTATTTTTCCAGTTTATCGTTATTTATTTATGGTTTATTTTACAACACCTGAGACTGTGTAGCATCCAGTGAAGGGGCAATTAATGAAGTGGAAGGGATATGGAAGGAATTGTTATTGCATTTGTTACATAAACTCCGTGTACATTGAAGAAAGTCACATTTGTTACGTGGTGTTTACTCATTGTTTTAAAATGAATTTCAAATTGAAACACAGTTACAAGTAAACATTATAAATGTTTAATGTGATTTTCATGGTCAGTTCTTCTGACAGCAAGGTAGGTGAATTATTAATCCACTTCTGGCAACAAATTGAATAAACTAGTTCATAGACACAATCTTTGCCAGTTACATGAATCACAGGTCAGTATTGTGATAGCATAATAATTTAATGGTTTAATATTTGCCCTGGAGAAACGGTTAATGGTTATATGTTTAGTGTATGTTATGTGGGACTGCTGTTATTACAGTTTACTTAAATATGTAGAGTCTTGTCAGATCCCACTGTTTTCTTCAAATTGAGGTTGAATGCAGTCGCATGCACACGATCTCAGATTGTTGAGATAAGGCGTAAATATTTCATTGTTTTAATTTTTGTGATTTGTTACAGAAAGAGAGAATTTTAAATTCACGTGAGCAAGGGAGGAAGCATCATGAGGAGAGACGAAAATTGCTGCGTCCTGCAAAGAATCTTCCTGGCCTGCGATCAAAACGAAAATTTCCACTGTGAATGTGTGTTGTGGGATTGTGTACATAAAACCAAAAATTAAATTATATACTACTATGATTTATCTGTTTTAAAGAATAATCCTTTCGCTTGTTTTCTTCCTGCCTCCATTTTGTTCTGGCCTGATAGCACGGTGATCTTTAACGACATATATTAAAAGGCAAAAAGATTTCTAACTGATAATGTAGTAGTGCAAGAAGCAGTACAGCATTTTACTAAGTAACTTGAATCAATTTGAATATTATTTTTCTGGTGATAGAATGCAGAATTTGTGTCCATTTGGAAAATAACATTAGCAAAAATCTGTCGTACTTTGTATTGGGGGAGGAGGGAGATTTTACAGATACTGAACCATCAAAGTTTATGTGTCACTTAAGAGGTTAAAGTGCCTACTTCTTGTTGTGGTGGGTTTTTTTGTTGTGTGCTGCATTTTAAATTTACTACAGATGCATGTGCATTTGTTCACTTTCCTCATGAAGAATTCCTCCTCTTGTGTGTAGTCTAAGCTTCTGTTACTGCAGAACCTGAACTCTCCGTCATATATTTATATATGAACCTACTCAGTTATCTGTTGTGCAAGACATTCATTTAAAACACAACCCAAACTGTGACAGTACTTGTAAGTTTTGGTGAAATCAATACAACAGGACAAATTAGTTGTTTCCTTAGGGTTTATGTCTGCCTTGAAGACGAGCATCCACCGAAATTTTGTTAACAGTCGGTGTATTGTCTTACCCCATACTTCCTGGCTAGGATGTGCACTGCTAAGTGCTTCATGGACAGCTGCAGTTGAATTTGATGTGAAATAATATTAAGAAATGAACGCATTTTCTGCTCATGAGTGCACTTGTTTGTACCTGTACAGGTTTTTACACCTGGTGCATTCAGCAGCCTATGTGATCTTGACTTAAGCGAAATGCAAGAGGTTGGGATAGTCTGTCACATGGCACTGAATCTGCTTCTGATTTTATTCTTTTATTGTAGTATGTGATTGTTATTGGGTCACATTTTAATGGTACACTCTACAAGAATATGGTGATGTCTGTATTTATGGTTTTTATTAACAGCGGAAAAACTTATTTGCACCCCTGGTTTATATTTGGGAGTTCTTGGGTTCAAATATTGGTCAGGAGACCAGCTGTCCTGAGGTTTTTATTAAGTTTTGCCCAGTAAAGGTTCGCCATAACTAACAAACTAACTAGATGGCTTACTGAACCCGAAGGTTCATCACTGAATTAACCAAAACCCTCCACCGGACCCTGTCCTGGGCCAACAAAATCCAGTCTCCTTCAACTCCTATCTCCCATAGATCCCGCCTGACATTATCCTCCCATCTACATCTAGGTCTCCCCAGCGGTCTCTTCCCCTCAGGCTACCTGGTGCACACCTCTTGTCCCATCCATGCGCGCTATATGCCCTGCCCATCTCATTCTTCTCGACTTAATCACCCTGACAATATTGGGGGAGGAGTACAGATTTTTAAGCTCATCATTACACAGTTTTCTCCATGCCCCATCGTCTTCTCTCCTAGGCCCAAATATCCTCCTCAAACACCTGCAAACTGTGTTCCTCCCTCTGAGTGAGAGACCATGTTTCGCACCCATACAAAACAACAGGCAAAATTATTGTTTTGTGTACTACTTTAATTTTCAGGTTCTTAGAAATCAGACGGAAAGACAAAATATTTTGAACTGAGAAGTAGCAAGCATTTCCGGAATTTAGCCCCCACATTTTGGTAACATTTTGTTACAACCACAGCATTACAAGTTTCCGAATAAGTACCGATGGTGGAAGACCTATTTCATTGGGCAGGGGGGTGTTCCTGTGCCTGTTCCTGAAAGTGACTTTGTTACAACAGTTCAGAAGAAAAAAAATCTAAACCTATCCAAAAAGTGTTGAAGAGTACATGGCAGCAGCCGAATTTAGGATTGAAATTATGCATTTAAGACATATAAATTACACTTATTTTTTGAGTAACTCTATTTTGTTGTATCTTACCACATTAAGTAAAGGTTTAAATTTTAAGTCCCAACTATAGAAATCTTTACTTAGACAAGCAGGTCGTGTGCATACAGATTCTTGACTTAAGAGCTTATAGCTAATAACAGATGGCTATACTGGTGGGATTATTACGTACTGAGATAAACAGATTAATCTCTTTTTATTTTTTGTGTATTTTGATTCCAAGCTGGCAACGGAGAGTCTACATGTCAAGCTCCACAAAATATCTAGAAGCTGTCACGTATTTAAGATTCTCGTTTCTCTCTTCTGCTTTCTACACGGAAGGTGTCCACTTGGGATTTCGTTATAAAAGGTAATTACATCAAATCAGTTATTATTTAATAACCGTAATTGAATCGCAGGGTTCTGTTGGGATCTTCACTGAGCGCAGGCGTTCCGTTACCGAATACATTTTGTTTCTAATTTGCGTATATTTCAAACAGGAACCCTGACATCAAAATAACTTCAGTTCAGAGACACTGATGTATATGCATAGTGAACTTCTGAGTCGGATTTTGTGGGAAAAAATACAGTCTTATATTTGTTGCTAATTAACATGACTTGGATATTATTTCGGCGAAAATTTGAGCTGTGATGGTATTCCTTATTTATTTCTTTTGTTGCGGAACGCGGATAAAACCAAAAATGTGGTCGCGTCTTTGTATCCATTAATTTTGAATCCGTGAAAATCTATCTTTAAAAGCTGATATGAAGGTTGCGTCATTGAAAAAATACCTTATCGTCATAATTCTTGGTTTTCTGTCAGTGAGACAACTCCATTGGGAAATGGAAGAATGATTATAGCTAACTGGTGAGACAAATGGGGTGTGTAGGGGATTTGTCCCTGACGTATTTGACGGTAATGGCCCACCAGCTGTTTATTCAGGAAACTAAGTGAAACGAAGAAAAGCCTCAGAATAACCGGTTCCCAATCCAGAATTCAAACCGACTACCCCCAGAATACGCAGTGGAAATGACATCAGTTGCAATGCAACCTTCTGTTTGTGAGGTATGAAGAGTAACCTTTATTTTTCTCGTATAATGCAGACATCGGGCTTCGGAGGAAAGGTATTTGAAAAGCATATTCTTTAGAAATATAATTTTATATCATTAAAGAAAAAGAATAACTTTTACAGGTATGATAATAATTCATCAGCCGTTACAGGAATTACATGTAAGCTTATTTTTTACGTAATACGATTACCTTTTCAAAAATGGATTTGCTTCTATAATAAATATTAAGGCCAATGATGAATGAAAATCGAAAATGTCGCATATTGCATTTCGAAAGTACTTGCAGACCTACTTCAACTGGAAATGGCATATACTTTTCTGTTCGACCCCAGCCGTGACATGATTTCTTAATTTCTGGCATTACTCCAGGATGATATGCCAGCGATAAGACAGTATTGACCTTTGAATTGTATGTATTTTGTTAATTTCATCCGCAGTAGAATTATTTTGGGATCGCTAATCCGTAACATAATACATTTTCCATCATTTCCGTCAGTCCCTCCAAGGAAATGATGACGTGGTGCCTTAAAATAGGCCACAACTGTTTCCTTTTACGCTATTTCATTTTTCACTACGTAGTAGAGTACGTATTATATGACCGACCAACTTCTGCAAAGAAACCTAATTGCAAATTGTACATATTCACATTATTACTGTCATCGTCGTCATCATAATATTTTTGAGTTTTTGCTGTTCATAATAGCCTCATATGGGAGCCACTTATGATTTGTACATGTGTGATTAACC